GTCAGAGCCTTGCCCCACAGCCCTGTCAATGCTTTTCTTCTCCTGGCAGGAGCATTTCGTGGGGTTCTGGGTGTTTGGGAGTGGTTCCACGTGTGGTGGTTGGGGATGAGAGAGATGCTGCCCATTGCACAAGGGAATTCAGCCTCTTCGGGCCTGACATTTCCAGGCAGCAACTAGTCAGTGGATTTTAATCCTTTTTTTTTTTTTTTTTTTTTATAAGGAATTTTTGTCTGAAGTCTTCAGAAATGTCTTGCATTCCCCTACAGGGACTGGGGCTGCTGCTTCCTTTTATAGCTGCATTGTTACTTCTCATTGTCTTTCCCGATGACTTTCTTTAAGAGCTCATTCAAAGAGCTTTTTTTTTTTTTTTTTTTTTTTTTTTTTTTATTTTTATTTCTTTTCTCTTTTTCTTTTCTCTTTGTTTTTAATGCAAGACTCCACATTTTCCTTAATTCTCTCCCTCTTTTTCTCCTCTTCCCTTTGCCCCCCTCCACTGCATCCTCGTGCTGTGCCCAGGTGGGTGACCAGGTGGCTCAAATCCTTCATCAGGGAAGCTCTGGCATGAGATATTTACTCCATCACCCCCTTCCTCTATTTCCTGCAGAACCACAGGGAAATCAAGAAAAAATGGTGTGTGCTGTAGCTGTCAGTGCAAGCACTCCCCACTTCTAACCTCTTTTTCTTGCTGCTATTGAAGCACGTCAGAGCAACCGAGGAGCTAACAACTCAGCACACACTTCTGGTGTATTTCTGCAGAGTTGCTCCTAGATGTAAAGCTGTAATTGTTTAGTTTCTACCTTTCCAAGCTTTTTTGGGGCAGAGTGGCAGCCTGTAACAGCACCCAACAGCTGTAGCAAGCAAGAACGGTCAGGACATCGTGCCTCCTCCGATGCTTTCCTCCTCTGTGTAGGGGATACAGTGATCTAGCTGCAGCTGAATATTTTTGTGTTTCAAGCTGAAATGAGAAAAAAGAGCCACAAGTCTGAGATTTACTGGGTGTGAAGGCTGGGGCTGACTCAGAGAGAGGGTGGAAAAACGGTAACGAATCGGTCAACCACTTAAAATATCCTTTTTTAGCTCCAAAAACTGTGCTGCTTTTTCATTTTCATTTTTTTTTCTGCACTTCTATTCCTTACCCTTTAGCTAAGCGTTTCAGATTGGTTGCAAGTCTTCCTTGATCATGGAGAGCCTGAAAGCACTGAACGAGGCAACGGCAAGAGGAGGATTCGAGGAGCTGGTGTGAGCAGGGAGTTCTGCAGACTCACAGTTCAGCTGGTGAGAAACAACCATCTGGGGAGCATGTGCATCCCTGCTCCCAGGGACGCCCAGCAGGAATTGCCTAATGGGAGCCCGCGCTCTGCCTGGGAGCGAGGAGTTACCGGGGGGAAGAGAATTGCATAAGAGAGAGATCTGCACTTATCCATCACTAACTGGAGGTAATCTTTATACTCAGAGCGAGAAAATTCTGCTGCAGCACAACAAGAACCCATGCCAGCGCAAAATAATTCGGCATTTGTCTTCTTGGCTACCTGAAGCATGATTTTGCTGAACCGAATCCCCCCAGCTATTGTATGCAACAGCTAGAAAAATGCTACTGTGAAATGTTTCAGTGCTTCGGTTCTAATTATAGCTTTTGCTATCATTTGCTGGGTTCTGAGCAGGGTGAATCAGAAGAGAAACGTCAGGGAGAGTTGAGGGAAGGAACCTTGCTAACAACGAGCATCAGGACAAAAGAAACGGGGTGTCCTGGAAGGCAGCGTGGTGCAGGGTGTTTAACAGGAGGCAAAGACAATTTGCAAGTCTTGGTTGTTCTGAAAAATCCTAAATTTATAAATTCTTTGCGGGAAAGGAAGGGAACTTCCAAGCCATCTGCCTAGCTGGCTGCCGGCAAGGCTCACACCTCAGAGGCACAAAGGGTGCCTGCTTTGGGGGCTGGCTGCCACACCGGTGCTGCTGATGCAGCTCCAAAATCTGTTATCGATTCTTTTCTGAGTGGTGCCAGAGCCAAGAAGCAGCTCCTTCTTGTTCTGGAGGAGCTGGGAGGAAAGAAAGGAAATTGGAGAGCTGAGGAAGGTGGGGAGAAAGCAGCAGGCATCAGAGCAACATGGATTAAGGTTATTTGAACAAACCCTGGTAGAAATACATACACAAGTTACGTTTTTCCTTGTGAATGGAGGCATAGAGTTTTGCTAAGGGCTTATTCTGTGCTAGAGGGCAGCTCTGGTTCTTATGCAGCTGGTTAATGAAGGCGCATAATCTCCAAGGTATGAGTGGATTCAACTCTGCAAAGCTCCCAAAATAACATATTTAAAAAAAACACTCCCCAAAGTTCCCAAAATAACATATTAAGCTGTCAAGCTGGTATGAATGTTCCACACTCACTACTAGAGAGTTAAAATCTGTCCTTAAATTGGTGGAATAAGATTAAAATTTGGGGTGGAATATAGGAAATTAGTACCTACTTACAATTTCTGCTACCCCTAGCAAATATAGAATTGTCTTTCTGACATTTAAAAAAGAAAAAGGTGGTCAGGTACCAAACCTATTGAGCACTGGGTTATCAAGTCATGTAGATTTTGATTCTTCTCAAAATCAGAAGCCTGAAAGGTGTAATTGGATGAAATATGCATGAAATATCAATGTTCTAAACCACTGAACGGTCATTCCTATTGTATTTTATTGTTCAAGTCTAGAAGAAATGGTGAATTCCTGCAAAGTAAACCTGCTGGAACATGCCAGCAATTTTTGAGATAAAGCCAGAGACCTGGTTTTAGGAATAACACTGCTGCCATTAAAAATGCCCTGTGGTTTGGAGATACCGCTAAGATTCACTTTGGAAATGAACAATTCTGGTAACTTTTTCAAATCCAATTCTACCACGTGTGTTTGCTTTCCTATACTACGTGGTCACCTATTTCATGACTTGGAGTGTCTCAGCTCTGCCGAATAACCATGCAGATACGAAAATCATTTGAATTCTCTCGAATTCTTGGATATCTTTCAGTTGACCATAAGTTTTTCTTACCCACGCAACAGAAGTTTTTGAAGTGATACAAGCCTGGGTTCATGGGAGGTCTTTTCTGTGCTGTGAAAGTATATCACATGCTCCTAATGCGCTGTGTTTTGTTTCAAGTTTCTTTTCATGATTATCCAATGCTTTCCTGACACTTCACAAAATATTATGGAAGAATCTGAACTGACACGTTCTCCAAAACCATTTATTCTATTTTCTCATCTCTTTGCGGTCTGATCTATAACTGTTATTTCTGCAAATTTCCCATTGTTGCACTTCTGGAGCAGCTTTGACAATTTACCCCACCATTTGTTGTTGCCTGAGATGACTGCTTTTCCATCGCCTTGCCTAGATGCCGAGAGCAAGGGATACATTTTCTGAATTATTTTTAAGCCCAGAGATGGCATGATTTCTGAAGCACTCCTTTTACATGACTTCTCCGAGCTCATCTGGATCTTCTATGTGGGTGTGTGAAAGAAAATAAGTTGTCCTGATCCTTTCTGTCGCTAAATATATGTAATTGATGGTATATTTCCTAAAATGCAGACCAGGGCCCAACTTGTTCAGTGGAGACAGAAAGAGATTTTAGTAAATAACAAATCTGGGAGAGATGAATCATGTTATCCCCACCCCACACCCCCCGACAGTTTTGTGATGTGTACAGGGAACTGATTTAATTGTAAATGGAGACAAATTTCTATTTCTGTCTCCATAAATAATTACATTTTACTCATCCTGACTCCAGCTGTAGATGTTTGTCTGCTGGACAAAGACATTTTCTCTAGCATGAGGCATTGCCGGTCTGCTAGAACACACTGGGTGTTTTTCCTTTACACTGCTTTTTTTTCTTTTACTTTTGTTGAACAAAAAGGAATGGATCTGGCTGGTCAGAAGGGATGAGTTTCCCCGTGAAAACCGGAGCCTGAGGGATTAGCAATTAGCTGGGTAATGGGGTCCTCTCGGTTGCCTTGGCTGGGAATAGGGCATTGCACGCAACCATGGAAATAAAAGTGGTGAAAGTATGTGGAAGAGTGAAATATTGTAGTGGGTTTAGGAAGGAACTGCGGTGGAAAAGCAGTTAGGTATCAAGTGATGCAAGACCCAAGAGGGAAGAGCTGAGATGTGGGCGAGTAAGGTGGTGGTGTTCTGTCAGAGACATTACAATAGCGACCTGAGGAAGACTGAGAGTGAGCAGAAAGTGAGGGAATATGAGCAGAAAGTGAGGGATTATGACAAATGGGCGGCTTGAGGCCTGACCAAGCAGCCACGGGCCGTGGGGTGCCCTTTCTTCCCCAGGTTGGCAATGAGGAGCCATTTCTCCTCAGGATGAGGCGTTGGGACGGGTTGCCCAGGGAGCTGGTGGCGGCACCGTCCCTGGGGGTGCTCAGGGCGGGGTTGGACGTGGTGCTTGGGGACACGGCTCAGCGGGGACACTGGTGTAGTGGCTGCTGACTTTGAGGGGCTTTTTTAACACCGGCGACACCGCCGCCATGTCCCAGGACCCCCCCCCCCCCACCTCCCCCTCAGGCGCCATGAGGGGGCTGCGGAGGGGGCGGGGCCTCCCCCCCTGCCCGCCCTCCCTGGAGGCGGCCCCAGCGGCGGGGATGACATCACCCGTTCTCCCCAAAGAGCCGCGCGCCGATTGGCGGAGGGGCCGGGCGGCGCGGCGCGGCGCACCAATCAGCGCGGGGCTAGGCGGGCAGGCCGGGCTGACGTGCTGGGCCGCAGGGGGGGGTTATTTTGCTCCGGGCCGCCGCCATTAGAGGAGGCCCGGCGGGGGCTGCCCCCCCCCCTCCCCCCCTCACCCCCCCTTTATTCGTTTCGTCCTTTTCCCACCTTTCCCCCCCCTCCTCCCCGGAGTGGCACCGCCCGCCGCCGCGGCCGCCCGCCGCGCTGGGAGAGACCATGGCGTGAGCGGGGGGGGGCGGCGGGGGCGGCGGGGCGAGGTGAGGCTGAGGGGCGCTGAGGCGAGGGGAAGGGAGGGAGGTGCGGGGAGGGGGCTGCGGCCGGGCCGGCCCCGCGGAGCCCCCCCTGAGGCTCGGGGAGGGGGCCCGGGGGCTGTGCAGCCGCAGGCCGGGGTTGTTTCCATCCCCCGGGGGGGCTTTTTGCTGTTTTATTTAAAATTTTGCCGTTTTTTGGGGATTTCTAGGGGGTGGGGGGGGCGCCCCCCCCCCGGGTGCCTGTGGCGGCCGCGCGGGCTGCCTCAGAGCGGGGTTTTGTTTTATTTTATTTTATTTTTTATTTTATTTATTCTCGCTGCGCGAGTTGCCTCAGAATATTTTATTTTTATTTTTTTTTGCTGAGCCCCAGCCGTTTTTTCCCCTCTCTCGTTGAAGAAAGTTCAGGGAGCGAGAGTTGGGGGGGGGGGGGGGAGCCCCGCCTGACCCGCGCCTCACCGCCCCGCCGCCACCGGGACCCGGCCCCTGAGGTGAGCCCCTGGAGGGGATTTTGGGGGGGGTTTGGGGGGGGCACACGGAGCCTCCCGGCCTCACAATGGGGAAAAGTTGCCCTGGAATGGCCGGGGGCGGCCCCCGGGGGCCCCCGGGGCTGGGGCAGGCTCCGTGCCCCCCGCTGGGGGGGCTGTGTGTGAGTGTGAGGTGATGGCAGGGGGGGATCTGCAATGTGGGTGGGGGAAAGGTGTGCTGTGCGCTGCCCTCACCTCCTCTCCGAGGCTTGCTGCCTTTAAAGTGTGTGTTGTTAGCAGCAGAACGCCGTAACGGGAGTTCAGGAGGGATCTGTCTCGCTCGAGGAGCAAAACCAGAAGCAAAATCCGGTGTTTGTGTCCTTGGTGACTGCAGAATAGATCTATGATGGCAATTTTTGTTTCCCAAAGTGGTTAACCAGGGAGGGGAACACAGGTAAGCAGCAGGAAGCGTTCAGGAAGTCTCTTATTTGCCTCCTTCCTAAGCCTGTCCCGCACTGGTGTCTCAGCACACATCCATATGTAAAGATCACCTCTGACTTAAGCCTGTCAGGGCATTAAAACTTCCTTCTGGAAACATTGCATGTTGTAGGATTTGGGAAACCTGAGCTCTGTGGTGTATTCCTCTTGAAGGAAAAAGAAGTTGTTGCCTCTATTTCTTTTTTTTTAGGCTGCTTAAAGGAAGGCAGGCGGATGGAGATGACTGATGAGGCCGTAATCTGTTGTTGTGGAGTTGTATCCATTAGCATTTTCTCAGAAGTATAATTAAAAGTATTAATTAAATTGGAATGCTGAGCGGCATAGAAGCATCAGTGGGATTCATCGCAGAGGCATGGCTTAAATTGGAGACTAGTTAAAATTGGTCGAGGCATTTTTAGTTGTATTTAGGCTCGTGTGTGGCCATTTTAATATTACGTCATGTAACGTGTAAATTCCTGGGGGGTGGGAAATACCATCCCTGTTCCGTGTTCTTTGCAGGATAGATCCACAAATAAGTCGGAAATGGAAGTAGAAAATACTTTGCTGATTGCATGGGAAGCTGTTCTAATGCATTTGGTCAAATAATCAAAGGTGTGTTCGGGCACCCCAGTGTGCTGCCTCCTTCATGTGGCAGTGACTTAGGTGGCGAGGTTTCCCTTTGCAGTGTCAGGGATGAGATTATGTGGGACTTGAGATCAGTGCATCCCTCACCACGACGTGCCATCTTCTGTGGAGATTGGGCTAGTTTGAGCTGGTCAACATTTGTGTCAATGAGTAATCCTCATTTTGACTGTGAGAATTACAATTCCAGTCTCTGTTACTAAAATGGAACTGAACTTCACTTTGGCAGCTGGAAATGGCTGGCTGGACCGTAACAGAGTTCTTAATTTAATTTTTTTTAAAGTAGTACTACAGATGAATAGGGGAATGAGGAAAAGTTGGAAAGAGATCTATTTATTTTTTTTAAACACAGCTCATGAAGAGCTCACTCCTTCCATTGTCAGCTCGGTAACATCAGTCCAGGAACAGGTAATTGCAACTCCGCAGTGTCAGTTGAATGGAATTTGCTATACTGTAAACAGAAAATGTCTGAGATCTTAATCAGAAGATAGAAGCTGTTTGTAATTCAGGTATTTTCCTGGACTGTGAGACTTGTCAACTTGCGTGGGGGGGGTTTATTTGCGTTTGGGTCATCAGCTGCTGAAGCACAGGCTCTCGTACGTGTGTAAGTTGATTCTTCTGGAACTTTGTTGAAATGCGAGGTTAATAATAGGACTCACCCCTTTGGTGTCTAACAGCAAATACTTCAGAGCAACAATTAGTGTGTAATAATTTGAATTATTTCCTTTTTCCTTCTTCTGTGGCACAGGCAGGTGGAAGCTCTGTAGTCAAACTGCAATTTTACCTGCTCACCACTTCTCAAACCCCCTTTTTTCTTTTTCTTTTCTGTGCTGCTGTCCCATTTGGCAAAAACTTGTTTCGGTGCAGACCAGAGAGGAAGAGGTCTGGAGGGAGTGGAGTAGGGGATGAGTGAAGTTTAAAGAACCCTCTTCAAGAGGGGTTGACCTTGGCTCGAGAAGGAAGAAGCAATTGTAGGTTTTATTTATTTTTAATCAAAGAACATGGGAAGTGTAATGTGCTGGGAAGAATGGAGGAGTTCCTGGTGTGTGCAGAGCATCTTGTCTACAAAACAGACAAGTTTGCAGCTCTCTGCTTCTTCTCCTACACAGCAGGCATAAATAAGCTGACTTTTTTTTTTTCTTTGGTTATTTGAGTGTAAACTGACGTATCTGCCCTGCCTGCTGGGACAAGGATAACAAAAGCTGGTACTTCTGAGACAAATGCTGGAGAAGGCACAGAATTTACATCCGTCTTTAAAGCTTAACTCAAAACTGAGCCGAAAACCCTTGGAAGAAATGAGGGCTGGGTACAGACTGGATACGGGGTGTGAAACTCCCGTTTCAGGGGACTGCAGGGCTGGGCCTACCGTGAGCAAGAAGAGCTCACAGCTTCCTGAAACCGGCACTTGGGAGTAAAGAGGCCAGAACTCCCCCTGCGATGCTAGAAGGCAGTGTGCAGTGACATTTATGTGGGTTGTGCTTGCCATTGTTTTGTCAGCGAATCCTAAGGCTTATAAATCCTGTCTTCTGGTTCTTTGGTTCGATTTAGCATCTGTTCTTGAGTGGCTTCCAATGAAACAGAAAGGTCTGAGTTGATGGGGAGCTCAGAGATTTTGAGAAACCGTTAAGTCTTGTTGGTGCTTCGCCAGTTTCTTTTCAAGATCTAGAACGTGAAAACTGTCCCAGCCGTGGTTTATGTGACTCTGGAAAGAAAAATAAGGGTGAGTGCTCTGTTTTGTTTTCAGTAGCTTAGAACTCCTGCCATCGAGTAGGCATCTAGCGGCTTTGTGAAGTTGCACGTACTTTTTTAGGTACATTCATTTGAAAACCGTGAAGCTTTTGGGCCATGGTCGGTTGGGTTCTGGGGAGAGAAATGACTCACAGGTCTGATAAGTGTGAATAATTCTAAAAAACAAAAACTGGTGAGGGTGATTGTGGGTTCATGAGAGAATCTCTTGTGGTTAGAAGGATCGTAAATGCGTTATTGTTGACTTCTTCCAGGCTTGAAAGTATTTATCATTTCCATTCTTCTCCCTGTTTTCCAAGGGTGGAGAGTGTCTGTGCGGGGAGCTGGGGCCTGGGTGTTCCTCTGGAGCAGCTTCCACCTGCAGGTCTGGGTCGTGTGTGATTTCACGGGCTGGGGAGTATCGATGGGCTCATTGTCATGCCAGGCCTCCAGTTTTTATTTCAGACTGCTGAGGGAATCAGGGTTGGTTTGTAGAGGTGTCTCAGCAGCATCTGGTTGTCATTTAGGTGCCTGCTGCCAGATGGGCCTGGGGGCTTCGGTTTTGGCTACGGAGGCTTCCCCTTCCCCTGTGCTCATCAAGAAGCTGACTTGTATCACGCTGAAGCACTGGGAAGGCCCCCTGGGCTGTTTACCTATTTTTGACCTCTGCAGCTTGGCAGGGATAAAAATAATTGTCACCTTGCGGGCTGTGAAGGATTTACTTGGGGAAGGCTGCTCAGAATTATCTCCGGCAGCGAGTTACTCCCACCCTCACCTCCCACTCCCCGAAAGCAGGGGGCTTTGGGGCTCTGCCTCTGAAATTTTGCAGCAGCTGAATATCTTGCTTGATTTGTTTGAGCAAAAAAAGGATTGCTAATGCTTAATAACAACATCTGACTTTCTTTTAAAGTTTGATGCGTGCTGTGATGTTAGAACTCCTTGGTCTTTCTCTGACACCTTGCAGTCTAGCCAATATCTTAAGAGGAGCTGGATAAAACAGCGAGTGTGGCTTGTGTGCTTTTTTGTGCTAGAACTTGAAGCCTTAAAAAATAGCCCAATCGCAAATGCGTGTACCAAAGACAGGTCCCTGTATGTGAGAGTGGCTTGCCATTAATTAGGAGGAAGCTACACAATGGCCGATGCTGAGAGCGCGTTTCCTTCTCTCATTTGGAGGCAGATGGTTTTTCTCCGCCAAATGGTGAATGTCTGCATCTAGCCATGATCTAATTTATGGTCAGCCACTATTAGGGAGGTCCAGAGGATAATTACTAGAACTGAATGTCAGAAGTACAAATTTTAATAGAGTATTCCTCGGTTGCTGGACAGGTTTAAGTGTCTTTGAGTTTTGATGTCTGACTCCGCAGCGTGTTTTTGTTCAGAGCGTGACATCTGCTTTTCCTCATCTTGTGCAGGGGTGGCTGAGATCTAAACAAAAAAACGAGGCCTCATGTTTTAGGCGTATAGTCTAAACACAGATAAACCAGCTTTCTGTATTCGACCTCACTTTTTAGAAAGAAGCCTCTTGTTCAGCGTGTACTTCAGTCAGATGCAAGCGTTGTAAAGCAACAATTTTTAAGACTGCATTTTTTTATCACGGATAGTTGTTGTATTTGTACATCTTGGGTCCATATTCAGCTGCCGCCTGCTTGTGGTGATGGGATGCTTTAAATGCCGATGGCTGGATTTCCGTGAGTTTTCTGTTGGAGCTCATTATTTTGAGTCTGCTTGCTTGGTTTTGATTAGTGTGACGGGGGAGATGCCGTGTGTTATGTAACCGTTGAGCTGCTTACTCGCCTTCCACCAAATGGTATTGGTTTCTGAGTAAGAGTTGTATTTAGTCCCTCCTAATGTGTGGCAACATCTCATTTAAAAGGTTGTTAACTGAGATTTAAAAAAAAGAAGCCAGAAATGCACGCTGCATTGCCCCAAACCACCACCAAAACCAGGCAAAGGAAGATGTAACACTCCTGGAACGTGAGAGAGCTGAGTTGAGGCACTGCTTCTGTCTCTTAGAGCTTGTTTTCAGCAGTGAATGCTTTCTTAGCATTTAGTCACGAATTTATCAGAGGGATGCCTGCTCTGACCCACTGGAGTTCAGTAACAAATGCAATGGGAACATTTACTCTGTAAACCCTACAGCAGGGTTAACTGCACAGCCTGGGAGCACAAAGTGCTTTGGG